CCCCTTGCAACTTTCTTCTGTGCATTTGTTCTCCCAAGGCCCAGTTGTCTGAGATGGAATTATCCCGGAGCCTCCTTATCTTACAACCATTCTAACTGCTCCCTAAATCACAAAGGCCTTTCTTTTGTTTAGTTAAGTGACTAAGATATTTAAAATATCCTCCTTGCCCCTAGGCTTTAATTCTTTCAGGAGGCATTTTGATGCAGTGGCTTTGTCTATCTTGGCTTTAACCCTTTCAAATCCTCCTATTCCAAATGAGCAAACTGCTTAAAGTAGAGTTCCCTGACTTTTTCTCAGGCACAAACGGACACAGAAACATTTCAACTGTAAGATATCTAAATTGCCAAAGTTTTTAGTAATTCAAAACAGGCATCTACCAGCTCTGCCTACAAATCCAGATATAGAAGAAATAATATATTAAAGTATTGAGAATAACATCTCAGCAGCACGGTTGCAGGACAATTCAGTCTGATAGTAAGAGTGAAGCCATAACCAAGTAGACAGTATACACAACAGCTCAGATGGACTCCAGTAAAACCTTTATGCCCTACCATATCATTACTAATTTTCTTTTTGCTCGATGTGTCAGAGAAAAATCCTATCATCTAAGGCATTTGGAATTCAAGACTAGAAGCCTCAGAGATGGCTTTTGAAGTTCAAAGGTGTGTGATAAATTTATCAGATGGTTCTGCAATTTTTAAAAAATATGGATATGCCTTTTGTGCATATGTGCAGGAAAGATTCCTCTTGCCCACCATATATATGCTTTCTCTCCTGCTAACATGCTATTGGACACTGGCATGAAATACTTCAGTTAGTTAACAAGAAACAGAAATACCACTACAAAATTTAGAGACTGAAGAAAAAGCAGCATTTCATAAGAGCAACTGAAATTATCATTTTGCCCTCATCTATTATCAAAGTTAACAGTTGTGATTGTGCCAGTAAATAAAGATGGCTAAATCAAGCAGAACAGGTAGCAAATACAACTATTTCTCATTTAGCCAGATGATCACTCAAGCAGTATTTAGCTTATCAGTAATTTTTCCTATTATGTCTTCTACACTGGTGAACATCTCACATCAGAAAGGGTGGAACTGCAGAAATAGTGGCAGCTTTTATCCTGCTATATTTTGCTTGTAAGTCTCAGGGTATCATATTAACTTCTCTGTTACAAAAAATTGCTGTTCATTTCCATCACAGCTGGAAAGTATAAACAAGCTTCAAAGCAAAAATATTTTGCAGGAATTTATCTATTACTCCTTTTAATTGAAAATTTTTAACCACTGTAGCACAACACAATATATTGTAGAGCTCCTATTAACCAACAACAAAATTGCTTTACTACAGTAATACAAGAGCAAATAGGATTCAAGAGAAGTAATCTAATTTTTATCTAATTCTAGTAATTTGATTTTATCAGACCTTAACTATAGCTGTGGAAATCATAGTCGTAATGTTAAAGCGTTCTACTTCACAAGCCAGCGTAAATTCAAGTACTTCAGACTCTTCCTTGATATTTTTCATCAGATGAGTATGAATATCCTGAAAAAAAAAAATTAATGTATCCTGGTCAAACCACTACTTTGTGTGTGTACAGTCACAAGCACATGCATGGCCTTCAGGATTTCTGAATGTGCAAAACAATTACTTTGCATGGTTCCTCCTTTCCAGAGTTTTTTGGTTTTGTTTGGTGTTTTGTTTTGGTTTGGGTTTTTGTTTTTTTTTTTTATCCTAGGAAAACCATCACTGATTCAGTTAGCCCATCGTTAAAGGTAACACTTCACTCTTCCTACCTACTTCACTCTTCCCAGACACTGTAAGTGCAACGGTCATGAATACCAACATGCTTTTTCAGCAGAAAAGACATATCCGTCTCTATCAGGACAAAAATAACACCATCCTGGTTTCAGCTGGGATAATTTTCTCCCTAGTAGCTGGTATAGTGCTGTGTTTTGGATTTAGGATAAGAATAATGTTGCTAACACACTGATGTTTTGGTTTTTGCTAAATAGTGCTAAGTAGTGCTAAGTTGCTGCTAAGTAGTTGTTAAGTAGTGCTTACACTAACTCAAGGACTTCTCTGCTTCCCCTGCTCTGCCAGACGCACAAGAAGCTGGGAGGGAGCACAGCCAGGACAGCTGACCCAGACTGGCCAAAGGGCTATTCCGTACCATACGACGTCATGCTCAGTATATAAGCTGGGGGAAGAAGAAGGAAGGGGGGGACGTTCAGTGGGATGCCGTTTGTCTTCCCGAGTAACCGTTACGCGTGATGGAGCCCTGCTTTCCTGGGGATGGCTGAACACCTGCCTGCCTATGGGAAGTAGTGAATGAATTCCTTGCTTTGCTTTGCTTGTGCTCGTGACTATTAAACTGTGCTTTACCTATTAAACAGTCTTTATCTCAACCCATGAGCTTTCTCCCTTTTACCTTTCCAATTCTCTCCCCTATCCCACCGAGGGGGGAGTAAGCGACTGGCTGTGTGGTGCCTGCTTGCCAGCTGGGGTTAAACCACGACAAACACGTAAAGGTTTTACTGGAGTGAGAATTTGGCTATTGATAACTGGTTACACAGACAGCAAACAACCCTGTTTTGGTGTCCACCTACCCAATTCAGGTAGTGGCAAGCTCCTGGTTTCTCAGCGCATGGCACACCAGGCACTGCATGTGAATCTGCTGTCTCACGTAACTGAAAGGTACATATCCATACCTCATGTGGAACTAAAAAATGTGGCTTTTCAGGAGTTGCAAAGGAACAGGAAAGCTCTTTCTAAGCCAGTTGTTTAGCCAGTCCAGGTTGCAAGGGCCACGAGGTCTTGAGACAGGAGGCATGAAACTGCGCTCATGACAATGACTGTGCTTTTCATTTACATAGCAGGTATTTTATAGCACCTTGCAAAGGTCAGAAATCATTTCAAAGCCTTCCAGAACTTCCAAAGTAAAGATTATTTTTCTGCTGAAAGGTAGCAGAAACAAGCCAACAGATGTTTTTTGCATGAATGTTTTAAAAAATTTTTGCAGCTCTTTGATCAGCAAATTTCAAGGAACTTGGATAGAAAGATGCTGGATCCATTTTATAGAGATCAGGCAGTTTACTCAAGGTGTCATAAGAGGTCATACCAGATTCAGGCAAAGAACACACATTTGATTTCTAGTCTCTGTAGTACTGCATAGCATTGTCAATTTAATTACAAAATATATTTATATGTATTTAACCAATTATTAATGTCATAGTTGTTTTGAACCTTCATGGTGGATCATAAAAGCACTCTTATCCTAGAGCAGTATTTTGAAACTAAGCATCAATAATTACGTATCAGCTGCATTTAACTGTAGAAGGCAGCAGCAATCTTGAATTTTGCAAATGTATCATTAGTTTTTATTTTTCCTTTACAATACCAGAAAGAGCTCTGATACTCTGAAATATGCCAGACAGTACCCACCACAACCCACTACTACTAGAGAAAGTGTTGTCAATTAGAAATGCATTCCAATAGTCACAGCTAAGCAATTTCTTAAACTAAAGGGATTCTGAGTGATTTCATGGTACAAGAAAAGATAATTAATGTAACACAGAAAAATTAAATTGTCAATTGAGGTGTCACATAGTAAATGATAAGATTTCATTGTCCACTTGAAAAAATAAGAATAATCATGCAAGGGCTACAGTGAAACAAAGATCTGTGTGCCTCAGCATATAAAGGACTGGGCTTGTCATGAAAAATTCTTTGGGTCCATATATTCAGGCATTTTTGCAAGCAGAACCGTAGAAACAGCAGTGCTCAGATTTAAATTGGATTTTGAGAGGGCTCTTTTTCCTGTGGCAGACAGTCAGAAATAAGAAATGGATGATGTCATTTTCATAAAGCTCTTTTCTAGTTTCACATTCCCAAGTGTTCAGACAAATTCAGACTTTCTGCTTTCTGTGAAACATCCAAAAAGGTCAAGATCCCAAAGACTGAAGGGAAATAGAAGGACAAGAAATGAAAGTACAGTATTTATCAAGTTCACATTTTAATACCAAGCCATATGAGTGTCTGTGTGTATATTCTCTTGTGTTCAAGAAACTCCATGCATACTGCATATAGTGAAGTTTCTTGATTCCTATAGGTATAAAATAATAGGATTGACAATTACATCAACAGACAACTTGCTGCAAGTAAAAGGACAGTATTTATTTGTTTGTTTATTTTAAAACATTATTACATTGATAGAATATTATTTTAAAAGGAAGACCATAATATATTCATTCAAAACTAGGCTGTTAAGCATATATATTTAAACTCTAATTTTTCTTAAACATAATTAAAGAAAATTATATTTTACAAATAGCTATTTTTAATAGACCTTATGAAAAACATGTTTAAAAATAACTGCCAAAATCATACTCTTTAAATATACAAAACACCCTTTCTGCGCTGAAGATATCTATCTTAAAAGCCAAAAATATCTAAGTCAACAGTTGAGACCGCATCAAACCCTACTGAAAGCAGTAGTGACATAAAAATGTAAAAGCACTGTACAAAGTAAGTACAGCTTTTTTTGTCTTAATACTGTATATATTTGTATTTGTTTTAAAAATGTTTTATAAAAACTGTTATTATTGAACTTAACATCCTTTCCTGTCCACAGAAAGAAATGAGCCACTGAAATTATCTGTTTACTAAAATGTCTCCTCTTCTGAATGGGAATCTTCTCTCATAATTGAAAGGGAATTCTACCACTTATTTCAATGCAAGCAGGACTGGAAGTTTTCTTCAGCCTATCACTGTGTAATTCCTCTTACTCTTACTTGGTTTCCCCCTTAATTTCATAATGCAAAACATCACAAAATCTTTAATACATTAACTGAAGAAACCAGAACTCAAGTACTTCAGCATACAAGGCTGGTGTATGGATTAGTTCATTGTAAAATCGAGCATTCAATTAAACCAAAACCAATTGCAAGTAGTGCTGCATGCTTTTTAATCAACATCCCTCTCTCTCTCTCTTTGTTCTTTTATAGCCCCTTCTGACATTTCTTCTGGAATGAGCTTTTTAAGAAGGTGCGGTATCCTGGATCATCCACATATTCATTCCTAAAGCGGGAACTCAATACTCTCTGCCTCTTCTTCTCTCCCAAGATAATATCTGCTCCATAAAATGTGTCTTCAAATCTCATGTCAGAGGCTGTAGACTAAAACCAGACATTAATTACACATACAGCTTCATACAGGCCATCATATTCTGACATATTTTAGACAAGTTACATGGAAACACACATATATTTCACTAGATCATATGAAGCTAGCTACGTTACTGATTATGCAGCTACAACCGTTTTCAGGAAAATGTCTAAATATTAATAATAATAACAAATTACTTTTCCATATTTTGCATGTACTACTCGTCATTTAATTCTCTAGGTCTGTTTTGTCTTTTTCCTTAGAAACATGTGACTAACACCAGTTGTTAGTTTTGATTTTATCCAGAGGTCACATAATCACTCTTAATTCAAGGTGAAAAACAGCAACACGGAAGTAACGCAATTGTTGAACAGGTTTGATTCTAGCAGTATCAAGTATTATCCACCACTTTTTGTTATTCAGAAAAGTTTTAAGTGCAAGGTACTACGGCATGGACCTCTGAAAAGAAACCTGCACACTGCCTAATTTGCAAAGAATCTGAGTCACAAGTTTGGTCATTTGTCAGCAAACTTAAACCAGTTGGGAATCAACTGAAACAAAGCAGCGGGACAGCAAACAGCAAGGCATTTGGCAGAAAGAAGTGGCAGAAATTTTTGGACCAACTTTCATGACTGGAGTCATGGTAAAATTCCCAGGATTAGGAAAAGCATCATTTACAAGAAATTGGTGTCATTTATTTCAAGGGACCAAAGCAATATCATAGGTTGTCTTTAACTTGCACTGTCTTCAGCATGAGGAGGTGGTGAAAGAGGTGTTGGGCATACCTTGAGGACTAAGCTACATATTTATAGAATTTTAGGCAATAGTAGAAAATCATGCAAAAGTCTGAGCACAGGCTGTGGTTTGTTTTATTTAGTTGACCAAATTAAATGTTTTTAACCTATACTTAACTCCCCTATGAAGTAAATGGTGTCAAATACAAAAAAAAAATATTGACCTATAAAAACTCCATTTTAAAAAGAGTAGCATAAACCCAACTACGTATGTATTGTTATCCTTAGTGAAATGCAACAGTTTACATTCTACAGAACATGCTGTTAATTATAAATGCTTTTTACGCATGGTCTCTAAAACAAAAAATGGTAATGGAATGCTTTCCGAGTATAATGAAAAACCCCATTGAATATAACCAGATGGTTCATTTAACATTTTCCAAGACATCTATCTTAACCCTAGATGGTCAGGACACTGAAAGATGTGTGCACTTATCTCAAATACATTGACAAAAAGGTGTCTTAGCCAAGAATATTTGAGCACTGCACCTCCCATTAGAAAGAGCTGTCCTAATCTTACTCTATTTCTTCAGTAAAACAGGGCATCCTGCCAGTGAACACTCCCTCAGCAGGCTGTCAGCCTCGTATTTCTCCATCTCTCTTCCTTTCCCAGCTTTACCACCCCTTTCATACATGATGCCAATCCTTTCCGTTGACACACTCCTAGCTTGTGAAATATACAGCATCCATGTTGGGCTTCACTGCTGAGAATTGGATGAAAGGAATGATGATAATAACAATGATGGCAGCTACATGTGGCAAGAAGCACTGAAAAGGAAAGTCAGACTGAAACCTTCTTCAGCTACCTCGACATGTAATGCTATGTTAGTCCACCAAACTTATATAAGCTAACATATGCCTGAAGAATCAACTCTACACATCATTCCTCTACAACTCCTTGCACCAACTTTCAAGAATCAGCTAATTAGAATCATAGAATCGTTAAGGTTGGAAAAGACCATTAAGATCGTCGAGTCCAACTGTTCACCTATCACTGCCAAGTCCACCACTAAACCATGTCCCTAAGCACCACGTCTACCCATCTTTTAACTACCAC